GCTTGATTCTTGTTTCTTTTCTCTGGGGAAATTTGAAATGCAGATAGTGCTTGCTATGGACCTGACAACTTGGCTCATTCATCAGCATGATAATCTTCAGTTCAGGAAATGCATTTCCATATTTCGATCCACCTGGCTCATAGAAAATTTCTAGGATTTTGGGGTGGGGGTTCACATTTCTGATTAAGAGCCCTGCTGTTCATGTAGGGCACGTAGAGTCTTTTCCAAGCTATTGATAGAATGTTTTGTGGCAATGACTGAAGAATAAATAATGTGGGGAGTACCAGCATGAATGAGGAATTTTATCTTAGCATGTCAGGGAGCATTCCTCATCTGTTCCTCAGTGTGGAGGGACTCTGTGCCAGCAGGGAAAAATCTCCACAGTGCCAAACCAGTACTTCAATGGGCTCTATGACAGGCTGCAACAGTGTTCTTTCTTCAGACCACATTAATGGTTATGACACATCTCATAAGTTGTAAAACACTTCTTGTATCTAGCCATGCTGTTATCCAAAGTTATTAGGCCTTATTGTTCCGTGTATGGCTTCTTTGTCCCTCAATATGTCATGTTTCTTTTTTAGACTGCAGTTGCCTGATGCCATTATACATGTACCAAATGCATTCCTTGTTAGCATGCTGGTTAAGATGCCTTTAGATACCTTTTTATATCTCAGTGCAGATGCAGGAAATAAAACGAGTTACGCAGTGATGGGAGGGGGCAGTTGATGTGCTGGAGGTCTGCCATTCAGCAGGGCCTCAGCAAAGCAGAGGAGAGCACTGGTGGAAAGCTCCTGAAGTTCAACCAAGACAAATGTGAAGACAAGTTTGGAAAGTAACAACCCTGTGCAGCTGCGCTGCGAGACAGGGACCTTTGCAGCCTGGTGAACAGCAAATGCACTGTTAGTCACCAGTGAAAATTGGCAGTGCACAGTGGCATAGCCATGGTGGGGGGTGTGTCTGTTCCCCCAGCCTGATGTTACCCTCAGCAGTTTGTGGATGTTTCTAAACTAATCTGTAAGTAGTTGTTTAGTATCTGAGGTGTGATACCAAGGGGCAGCTGGTATGTGTGTGAAGAGAGAGAGAGCAGACCAAATAGGTGAGCAAGTTTAGTATCATCTGTGGTATAACTGCATTTTAATTTGACTACATCTTGTAGTCTGTCCTCTGATTAATGTCTCTGTCACCTGATAGGCTCTGACATAGAGACATTCCTATAAATTATCAGGTCCATATTCTTATCTTGCACTTAGTTGTCTCCTCCTATTTCCAGTTTTTCACATTCAGTAGTACTTTTATTTTTCAAGCTGTCTTTCAGGTGTAGTGGATGTTGGCTGAAAGGACATGTCACCTGCAGCAAAGTTCAAGTCGTGCATCAAGGAGCAGTTCTGCATAGAGTATGTGCCAGTAAGAGTGTTGTGTTTCCAAGATTTGGGCACAAGACTGTAGCAGCAATGCTATTGAAATGGCAGTGGTAAAAACCTGTCATTCCCATTTCATGAGTCCAATCACTTGAATGTGTTCAGAAGTCCCAGACTGAATAGAAGTTGATTTCATGTATTTGTTCCTGTTCTTCTGAAAGTGTATTCAAAAGGTGAACCGAAGATTTAGGCTTCAAACTTTCCTTAATTAAAATAAATACCCAAACTGTGGGAAAATACTTTATTACTGGGCTTTTTTATTCTGAATAATTTTTATTTATTTAATATATTTTTTATAGTGGCATGTGTTAATTCCAGTAGCACACAGCACACCACGGTCGCGGTGTGCTTGGTGTTATGGTCAGCAGTGTGTGGTGGTTGAGTCCAAACTAACGTGTTCTTAGCAACTGTCAGCAGCTTGTGAGCTGAGAATGACCCTTTTCCTTTTTTAGAGGAGAGTTTAGCCATCATCATTCTGTTTGTTTCCTGGGGTTTTTGAAGTACCTTAACCTGGAAGAAAGTCTTTGACTGGTCACTCAAAGGAAGTGCCATGATGGGCATCAGAGCGTCCTTTGTGTATGCTGGGCTGGGTGACTGGTGACATTATCCTCATTTAAAAAGGCTGCTAAGTCAGGTCTTGAGTTTTCTTCCATCATCTATATTCCTCCTGCACTGCAGCTGGGCAGGAAGCTCTATCTAGCAAACTGAACTGTGTTTTGGGGGGATGGTGGTGGAGGAGAGGAGTCACAGCAGAGGAAAAACACATTCCTGAGAGTCCTCATTACAGAGCATGAAGATTTTGGGAGACTGCTCATTTATAAAAGTTGTCCTCCACCCTTAAGCAGCTGTTCTGGTTTTGTGCATTGCAATGTTTTAACATCTTGGGAAGCCACAGATGTTTGATTCATATACTGAGGCAGATTTGATCCTTATTCCTAATGCCAGAACCTTCTGGCTGAAATTACTGTGACGCAAACTTTGCTCCCAGCTCCAGCCTCACTTAGGAGCAACAGTTTTGTTCCATGTCAGGTCTGGCACTTGGTCCTCAGATGTTTCACCACCACTTCCCGTGTTTATAGGTGGAGACTGTCTTGGCTGTGGACATGACATTCACTCGGAATTGTGACAGTTTGCTGTGAGCTTTATTCCGTGTTTCAGAGAGAAATGCACCTTTGTGTTCCATGGCTTCGAAAAGTATTAAACAAGGATAGCATTAATGTAGCACAGTTCAGATCAGTTGTTTTTCATGTGTTGCTAACCCAGTATGAAAACAACTTGTGACTAGATGGTACTTAATTGAATATATATATATGTCAGTATTCTGATAGTCTGAGGACATCCTCTCCATTGTTTTTGTGCTTGTAATCCAGTATTGCACTAATACTGTGGATAAGTTTGCATGGCAATAACTTATACTAGAATTTTGGAGATGGAAACAGTGAAACTAGCCATTTCTATGCAAAGAAGCATGGAATTGAAATGGGATTTGGCTGGAGCCAAACAGCAGCTGTTTGATCCCTATCCATTGTAGGGCCCAGAGGTACCATCCCTCCATCACATGGAGGTGGTAGGAGATGTCCCAGAGAACCAGCCTAGTGCCTCAGGCACCTGTGGCATTTCAAAGATGATTTTCGAGGAATCAGGTGGTAGAGGGGCTGTATCTCTCCCTGCTCCAGTGATCTCTCTGCTTTGCTTTGTTTTCTTGACCTGCCCCTCATGTTTTCAGTCTTTTGATGTTCTGTTGTTACTTTTCAGTTGAGTTTATCCTGTCTTAAAATTTTCCTCTTGGAATAGAGCTTTAATTACTGAGCAGATGTTGTCTTCATTCCGCCTGCTCTTAACTGCCTTTATCTCTCTTCTTCATCTTGAATCGTAGACTTCTAGCTCATTAAGTCCTGTGGAGTTAGAACTCTTTGCAAGTTAAAGACACTGAAAAAAAATATTCTTATCAGATCTTGCTACAGTTCTGTAAACAAACTACTTAATCATGCTTTTATGTTAATGCCAAAGAAACAAATAAACAGTTGTTGCACTGTGATTATAAACAAACGAATACAAAATTGCAGTCTAAATATTGAAGTACTTTTCCTTCCTTTGGTTTTGGGGTTGGTTTTCTTCTCCTTAGTGCTCTCTGAAACATGATTTAACTACAGATTTAAATGGAAATGAATCGTTGATGGCAGAAAATAAAGTAAAAGAGAAATTGATGTTGCCTGAAATCCTTCATGGTCTGAGGCTAGAGAGGAGGAAGAAGCCAAAATGTAACTGCAGGAATGTGCTTAGTTATAAAACCTAGGATGTAACTGTGGGAATGTGTTTAGATACAAAAACTGGAATGCAACTGTGTGCAGTGAAATCTGCAAAAAGCTGGGAATGTCATGCTCAGTGCTTGAGATTGGCAGGCAATTGGCAATGTTTTTCAGATCTGTTCTTGGGGGAAAAAAATGCGTTTCCTGAGTTTGGGGCCTGATCCAGTCTTTTTTTTTTTTCTTTTTGGTGGATTTTTGTTTTTTAGTACTTGGCTTGTACTCATGTGAACTAGAATGGAATTAGCAAGAGACAGTAAAGTTGTGGTTCTGTGTACTCTCTCTCCTCAGTGGTAAAGCTTAAGAAACTCCTGCTACAAATCGTACTTCCCTGCCTGTATAACTTTTTCCAGGAAGTGTTTGTTGGTTTTTTTGTAGGACTGAAATGTGACGTGTCTGATCCAATTTTCCCAGAGAACTTCCTATTACTTTTTTTTTTTTCCCCAAGGCAGACTACTACTGGTAAACAGTGTGGCTTCATGAGCAGTTATGCTGGAATGACTGGAAGAATGGGCACCCTGTGATGGGAGCAAGGGCATTTGTTGCCAGAAATTAGTACATTCAGTCTCTCAGGACAATAGCCCAATGAAACAGCAATGGTCATGGGCTCTGAAAAAAGTGTCAAACATCCTCTGTCTTCTATTTTATCAGGTAGCAATAAGGAAGGAGGTGTCAAGGGAAACACAAATTTGAGTAAATGAAGTTACACTTTAGCAGTGCTCTATGAAAGCAACTTTTATACTGGCAAGTGAAATTTGTCTCACCTGAAAGATTCAATCAGTCTAGACTAGAGCTAAATGATACAAGTGCCATCCCAACTTGTGCAAGTCAGTTGGCACATGGCAAATGCTGTATTTTTGCATCATCTCATTGCAAGGTCATCCATGAAATAGCTGCAGATTTGAGCCAGGAGAGTCACCAAAACTCAGATTACTTTAAAAATTTTGCTCAAACTTTTGGTTTCTTTCCTTAGTCAATTCTTTCAAACATACAGATTACTGGTTATAGGAGAATAAAGGAAACCTCTTTCAATGTGCCAAACATTAGGATTAATACAACTTGATCTCAAGTCTTTATCAGTAAACTTTATCAGTGATGTAGTTTCTCTTCTGCAATTCCTGTGGTTCTCTGAAATCTGTGCTGTTTTCTGGTTGAAGTTTAAGTGCAACTGTGATGGCAATAAGGGAGTTAAATGAACATGTCGCTGTCCCTTCCCCCCCAGTCCTAGAGTATTTCTGTGTAAAGATTTAAAGGAAATAATTTTTTACCCCTGCAGGGCAGCGTTAGAAGAAGTAGAAGGAGATGTGACAGAACTGGAACTGAAACTTGACAAGGTAAGCTTTTCAATTCAACTGTGCTTGTTCTTAAAAAAGATAAAAAGATGTGTTTAGGTTTTGTTTTAAAGTTCACAGCTGGGAAGTGGCTGTGGCCGACCGAGCACTCTGCTCTTGCAGAGGAAAAGGATCTGGGTCGGGAGGGAGCAGCGCCTCGGGGACTGAGCTGGAGGAACAGCAGCAAGAGGCAGTGTGAACTCATTTGGTCCCCAGCTGGGGGTTTGGGTTGTGCAATCCCCTCCTGACTCAGCCTCTCACACCCCTGAGTCTCAGCCCTGTGCTGGGAGCTGCTTGCAAACTGCCTCAGCTTTCACCTGAGATACAGCGCAGGGCTTGGCCATCTCTGTGTCGAGAGCTTGTTTTATGCCAGCTGCATGCTGAGGGACATCTGGCTACTCCTTCTTTGGGAGATTGAAAGTCCATCTTTGTTTTGGTAATCTGAGGCACAGACACAGCAGGCCAGGTATATATCTCCTTCACTTTTGTCTGGAGGACTTAACTACCGTAAAATTCATTCTGCTTTTTGTCATGCTTTGTGCATTTATATAAAAAATAGATATAGCATCTTCTCAGAGCCTTACAATACATTTGTTAATTTTCTCACCTTTGAAGGCTTTTGTTCTGTCTTTCTAGTATTTTGAGAGTGGTTTATTTTTGGTTTACTTCTGAAAAAAGCCTTCCTTGGTTTGTGTTCTATGCTAAATATTTAAAATTACTCTTTGCCTGTGTTTTCACATGGTAGGCAAATGTCATTTGTTCACTGCCTTGGCTGCTTTTTGAATACAAACTTTTGTTCCTGCAGCTGTGAGTTCCTACAGCAGGAACTAGTAGAAAGTTAGAGACAAAGTCGATGTCAAGTGTAGTGTTAAATCTGAAGAATTCTTGTTTACCTCTTGTAGTAATAAGTCCAGTTTTCTAACCACTTGCTCTTTCAAAATAAATTCAAGATAGTTAATGTTGGTTTGGTGTGAATTTTTGTGAAACTGATGGCTGTAAGACACATTTCTTTGTAGGGGTAATGAATCTGTTTTGATAGAACAAACTGTGTAAAGTTTTTAAAGGATCTGAAAAAAATCTGCCTAGGAAATTTGACTTTTCTACCAGTCTAAAAGTCATTTTTGGGGAAAAGAGTTTTCAAATTCCATAGGGGGCATCTTTCAGGGCCGTCTAGTACAACAGTTAAGTTGAAATCTAAGCTGCTTGTGTGAGCTGAGGTAACTGTGGCCTGAGGGTAATGATTTGTTCAGGCTTGGTTGGTAACACTTTGTGCTCACTTGTTCATACTAAACCAAGTCTTGTTGTCTCACAATTGTGACTTTGGGCTGCTCTGACTGCAGTTATCTCCTCTGGAAGAAAGGACACTGGGTTCAGGCTTGTGAACCGTAAGCCAAAGTGAAAGAAAAAGGGTCATGTTGGTAGTGATTTTTCTGTCTGTTGTTCAGGCAACTTGGCTGTTCATCAGAATGTGGGAGATCATGCTCAGCTTTCCTCTTTTTCTAAGAGGGCCTGAGACAACATAAATTACTGGCTAAATAAGGCAGGAAGAACACTTGGGTGGTTTCTTTGCCCCAGCATGGGATCAAGTACTTCTATGTTGCTTTTGTCTAATGTCCTTGAAAAACCTTTCAGAGATCAGTTCAATCTTCTCTTTTTATTCTCAGTTTGGTTTAGGATGGGAGAACTCAATTGTCATGTGCCTTTTCTCCAGAGAGCGTCTTGTCACTCTCACTAACCACTCCTGTCATTAATGGCTCTGTGCAAAAATGGTTCAGAAAGTGGGAAAACATCCATCAGAAGATACTGAGGTCCTTCCTATCAGACTGTGCTGACCTAAGCAGTGAGTGGTAGGGATGGAAACCCATCAGAGCAGTCTGTTATATGAGTGGAAACATGACTGATTTCACCTTCTGAGATGTAATCACCTCTCTTCAGCTGTGCTTTGTGCACGGAGCCTTTTGCTTCCCTGGGCCTGTATTCTGAGTGGCTCAAGATGAAACAAAGGGTGTGGGTTCCTTGTTTGTTTTGTGGTTTGGTCTTGGTTTTTTCCCCCCCCCTGGAAACCACCAACCCCTTATAATTTGCTTAGGTTTGAACCAGTTAAGTTTTAGTTGCTGTACATTCCCCCCCCCCCCCCCCCACCAGCACCCGCCTGCACTCTAGGTCCCACTCTCTTGACCTAGAGCAGTATTTTTATGGCTGTCACTGTACAGTAGGAAGCTTCTCATAGGATCTGGGGCTCTGTAAATTTAGAATTGAATTTAGGGATTCTATAGGTCATAGCTTGACAGCGCAGAATGTTCATGTTTATATGACGATGTAAAAACAAACCCCTTTCGCTTTCTCTGTTTTCCCCTCTTTAGCTGGTGAAGCTTTGTATTGCAATGATTGATACTGGGAAAGCATTTTGTGCAGCTAACAAGCAGTTCATGAATGGGATTCGAGACCTTGCACAATACTCCTCTAAAGATACTTTGGTTGAGGTAAGTTCTTCAAGGGGTAAAAATGGAGAGAAACACAACTTAAAAAGGGTAAAATGTAACAGTGGGCAGGAGAAGTAGTTGAAGTTTATACTGTTATTTGCCTTTTTGCTTCTTTTCCTTTGAGCTGTCTTTGAGTGAGGTTTTTTTGGCTGTGCTGACTGCAATTGTCTGTGCTGATGAGCTTCACCTTTAACCTGCAATGGCAGAGGACTTCCAAATTCCAGGAATTATGGGTTAGATTAGTGTGTGTACTGGTGATTACAACATGCTAAGCAGTTTTTGGAGTCAGAGGATTTAATATTTAAAAATATTAATAGTGTAATATCAAGTATTGTCAATTAATGTGTTAGTTTATGTGAACTTCCCACAGTGATTAGTCTATTGAATTTGAATTTTCCCTGCTTTGCTTCAGTTTGGTACTTTATGTACAGGTAGTTAGCAGTAACATTTTTGTTGCTTGTAGCTTTAAATAAGTTTACTTATTACTCCTGGCATAATAGTCTGATAATCATGCCATGAAAGAAATGAATTTCCAATGTAAACCTCTGAAGTGTTGCTTTTGTGCTGTATGTTTGGTAGGGCTTACTTATACCACTTTGATATTTCTCTTTACAGACCAGTTTGACAAAGTTCTCTGACACCTTACAGGAAATCACCAATTACCACAATGTGAGTATTTCTAGCTGAAATGAGGCACTGATAGCTCCTCTGCAGTTATATCTGATAATAATAGAATAATGCAAAAGCTTTTTTGTTGACAGTGTTTGCAAAGGCATGGTTTTAGTGGTATTAAATACCTCTCACTTTATACTTGTAAATATTTGATGCATGTTTTGTTTATGAAGTATTTATAAACATCCCTTTTTCTGCAGATTTTTATCTTGGCTTATTTTTCATTTGGAATTTATAGGCTTTGCTAAAACCTGGTGCTGTAAGACAGTAAATACTGGATAGTTCCATCTTTTAAAATCAAACTGATGTGTAGCAGTTACAAACTATAAACAGATTCCTTTGCTGGTCTGAAGTGATTATTACCTTTCCCCCCATCCTTTATAATGCACAAAATGAAGCACCTCTGATTTGCAGACACTTCTTTTTGGAAGTATGGCAGATTCAGACAAGTGTAGAGAAAGGAAAATGCTAAGATTTAAGACTAATAGCTGTTTTTAGCATATCAGAGTTCATCAGAAGGTTCAGTTTGCATGGATTGAAAAACTAATTTGTTTGGTTTCCTGTTAAGAGTTTAGTCTTGTATCCTGAAAGCCAAAGGGATGTGTTCATCCTTCTATTTTCTTCCTCTTCCTTTGGCCTGACTGCTTTTCATTGATTTCCCAACCAATTGCTGGAAACAAACTGAAGTGTCTCCAAAGTGCTGAAAATCTGCAGGGCACTTAAAATGTGGGGATTTTATAGCAGTAGGAGTTAAAAATTTAAGGAGATACAGAGAATGCAGTTGAAAATAAGTTTGTTAGCATGAACTTAGCTTTCAGATACTTATTAATTGGGTTTTTCAATGTATGCTTTTAGAAGGGAAACAAAGCAAAGCAGGTTCATGGTATTGAGTTGGATTTCCTTTCCATTATATGAAGTGTACATACCTACACCTAATCTAATGAAGACTGGAAAGAGGGGAGTAAATGAGCAGTGATTCTTTGGTAGAGAGAATCTGGTGCAAAGGTTCAAAGCAGCACTAGTGAGAGAAAATATTATTTTCGTGTCAGTGGTTTCTGCAGATTAGATGGAGCAGATGATTCCAGACTGTCCCTGTTTGACACTCTTCATCACACATCTTGCTGCTGTTACTCTCCTAACAGTGCTATGAGGTGTGCTCTTCTTGATACATCTGACTTATGTTCTTGCTGCTGCTATTCTGCATAACTGACTTGCATTGCTTGTTAAAATTTGGCACAGTACAACTCTCCCTCTAGGGCAGTTTGAAGGCAGAAATCAAAGAAGATTTCTTTGCAGACCCAAGTAGGACCAATCTGAAGTCTGCCCTGCTTTTTCTCCCTTCCATGCCCTTGCTGTGCTCAGGCCCAGTGAATTGAACAGTGGCTTGTCCCAAAAGGCACAGGCATGTGGTGAAGCACTTCACAGGGTTCTGGTGTAGTTTGCCAGATGTGTGATAGTCCTGCATTGCTTTTTGTGAATCTGCTTAGTTCAACAGGGCTTCCTGGCTCAGTGTGTCAGCTCTCTTGTTGACCAAGTTGGCAGGACAGCCATCGTGAGGGAGAAGCAGCTAGAGGAAGAAATAAAAGGAAGGATGGAAGGAAGGAGATGTTCCCACTGAGATAAGGATGACTGTCAGTTTTTTCATGAGGCTTTGTTACAAACAAGGCCACAAACCAGCCTAGTGCAGCATCTTCACTGATTCAGCAGTGGGGGAGTAGCTTTGACATCTTATGGCAAACAGTAACTTTCTTAGACTTGGAGTGTGTGAAAGTGTGTTGGAAAGGCTGTAAATCTAGTCAGATTGTGCTCTGGGCACTCTGTTCTTTTAGGGGAAAAGATGTGTATGTATTTTTCTGCCTAGCCTGTTTTTTCTCTTCATTGCTGTAAGCAGAATTCCAAGGCTCAGATTTCTGGGAGTCCTCTAATCATTTGAGTTTCCATCTGGTTATATTCTTTTGGTATGGATCTTGGTTGGTGCACTGCTCAGGCACTGGCAAGCTTAAATGTCAGCAGTGGGAGTAGTCCCAGCATGACATCCAGCTTGTCAAGAAGTTCTTTATCTGTTCTAGTTGTCTGTTTTTCTGGTTTCCCAAAGTGGGAATGCAAACAGGATCTTCCATGTGTAGATACAGGACAATTCTAGTTGGAAGCAGCCTCAGGAGATGTATTGTTCAACCTCCTGCCTAAAGCAGGGTCAGCTCTGAGGCTGGAGCAGGTTGCTTAGGCTTTTATCCCCTTTAGTCTTGAAAACCTCCATACATGGAGACTGGATGGAAGATACAGTACCAGTGTTAATAGGTGATTTAAACTCAGTCATGATTTCCTTCTTCCAGTGTCTCTAGGAAAGAGGAACAAGCTGCTTGGGGTTTTGCTGTCAGTACTCAGCATTGCATAGCTTTTCGTTTCCAAATTTTGTGAATAGAGAAACTGAGAACATTTAGACAAAACATTGACTTGAAACTCTGAGTTCTTGACTTATTCTTTCAATAAAACTATTTAATACTTCAAGATCTTTACCTTCTGGATGAGATTTTGTTCAGCTTGGCCAACTGCTGCTTCCTTATATGCTTGCACTTTTTTTTTCGTGATGGTGCCTGTTTTGTATCTGTAATGCATTACAGGAGGTGTAGAAGGATTGGAAATTAAGGCATCATTTGTGTTTGCACAACAAGAAGTGACAAAAGGATTTGTCCTGCAACCATTGACTTGCTCACTTCTGTCCTAAAAGTCTGAGGGCAGATGTGAAACTGAAGGAATGTGTTTTCATTCCCCAGTTAGAATTTCTGGGGAGAAAACACAAGTTGTCTAATATTCAGGTCTGCTTTGGCCATGAAGAACTAACAAATTGAAGCTTTACAGTTGGAATGAGCAGGTTGCATTCTGTGCCTGTCTCCCCCTCCCCAAATCATAGGAAATTAGGGAAGCATGGCTGAGAACACTTAATCTTAAAAGAAACCATGCAGATATTCTTCTGAGAAGTCCAGCAGTGGGTGTTTTTTTACAAATGATTTATGTAAAGGAGGTGGTACTAATTACTCATATATGTTTCACTTTCAGCATGAATTTCAGTCTGTGGGTTTTTGCCAGAAGTTAAGGGCATATTCTTTCATGGCTTCATTTGTCTTTTAGCTGATGATAATTTGTACAAGCCTAAGAACCAAAAAGGTTGTTGCTTAACATTCAAAGTTGTTTCTTCAAGAATATTACTGTACAATAAACATAATAAACTGGTTCTGTGCAAGTGGCATCTCTCATGGTCAGGGTGCCAGGAGCTCTTGTCCCTCCTTATAACCACATTCTTTAAGAAAAGACCTGCAAAAGGTGCTGGGTTTGTGCTGTTTTTCTTATTTTATTCCTTAGCTTTTCATTTCAAAACTACTGTGAAAGGTTTTATTTTTTGATGTTAGAGACTCATTGATTTAATAATAAATCTCATCTAATTCTGCATCATTGCTGTATGTCTAAACTCAGAAGGTATGAGTACCTAAGGTATTGACCTACATAACAATGCTTTCCTTTCAGATCCTGTTTGACCAAGCCCAAAGATCAATTAAAGCACAACTTCAGACTTTTGTTAAAGAGTAAGTTAGTTTTCACTTGTAATGGGAAAATTGTAGATAAAATAGAATTTAAAACCAGCTGGTTTGAGTGGGTTAGTGAAACCTCTTTCCTGTCAGTAGCCAGTCATAAATGGAGAAGTGTGTATTAAAGCTTGTCAAAAATCACCCCAAATCACTGAGGCTTTAGATCCAACTGAAATAGTACGAATTACTGATCTTAATTACATGTTGCAATTGTCTGAGCTTGGGGAAAAAGTACTTACCAATGGTTTTCCCCAGCAGCCATGTGATGTGTTTGTTTCAATTTTGTCCTTTCCTGGGAGAAGAAAGGCAAAAAACTTCTGATATAATTAATACATTTCCATTTGATCCAAGCATGTATTGAAGAACATGAAAGCAGAGAAACTATAGCAGTCATGAGCATCATCTGTCCAGTGTAGCTTTAAACATTTTTCCATGCTTTGGAATTCATTTGTTATCCGTATTTCCTTTTTCTTTAGAGATATTAGGAAATTTAAAGATGCGAAGAAACAGTTTGAAAAAGTGAGTGAGGAGAAGGAGAATGCTCTAGTGAAAAATGCCCAAGTTCAGAGAAATAAGCAACACGAAGTAGAGGAAGCAACAAATATTTTGACTGCAGCGCGGAAATGTTTTCGACACATAGCTCTGGATTATGTTCTTCAGGTAAGTGCAGCAGTAAAAGTTACTTTTCAAAACCATCTGTTACATGTAGTTAGAGATCTGTCCTTTAGTAGTTCATACTGTAAGCTTTGGCAAGCTGTGGAGATTCAGGGAGAAAGGGAGAGCTTTGTCTGCAAGCAAAAAATTTATGTTTTTAATAAAATTTTTAATAAAATGAATTCACCTGATGCATTATTATTGCTTAGTGCTTTGTTATTCAGTGCCCTTGCTGTGATGGCACAGTTTGATTTTCAAGTTGAACATGAATTTTGAAAAAAACAGTATCTGCCCGATACTTAGCTAAATGTTTCATGAGCTGGCTGTGCTGCAGTTCCTTTTATGTTTGAAGTGAAAACTGTAGCCTAGGAAATATAAATTGCCTGAATAGTTCTGATATAGGATGTTGACTACTGCAACAATTTGAGTTTTTTGCTTTGGGCTTTACTTACCAAATCCAACTTGTCTGGATGCCTTGGAGTTTGGCATCGTACCATATGGGAAGTCAAGAACCTAACTATCCTCTTGCTCTTTAGTGCAAATCTTCCCTAGGGTGTTAAGAGGAGTTCTTTGTCCCACTGCTTTCAGTCCTGGAATACAGTGATACATTTCCTTTTGATACTTAAAATTCATCTGTTTTATAGGTGCCCACAACTACAGCCAAACAGGGTTGTTGCAGCTCAGATGGTATGAGGGGTTGGGGGCTCCTGAATGGGTCTGAGGTTCTCCTGTGATAAAACATAGAACAACACTTCACAATTAAGCTGGGTTTATATCAGATATCATCTTGATTTGTGACAGTCCAGTCACTTACTTAAAGCTTCATTAGCAGTTCTGTAAATGGCATTATTGCCTCCCAAGTGAAGTGGAACTGATCAGCCCAGGCACGTGCACAGACAGGGTGGTCAGTGGGGAGCACTGAGCTCCTGCCTTCTGGATCCTAAGGACAAAGGCCATTTTGGTGTTTAGGAAGTTGTGTGAATTACATACCACTGGATTATCTGTGCTCACACTAAATGGTGTGGGGGGAACTGGCAGTTAGTAGCCTAGGCCAGTTCCTTGTGTGTGTGTGAACTGCAGATCATTTGCCTCTGGGAATTTGAATCCTCAAAATACGAGCAGTTTCTGGGGTAAAGATGCATTTAGAGTAACAGGGAAAAGTTTCAGCATCTCTTAATGTGGGCAAAAATGAATTCAGCTGTAGAAATTCTTTGTGCTTGGATGACACAAAAGCTGAAAGCCTGAAAATGCTGCAGCCCACGACTGGGACAGGGGCAGTCTCTGCTGG